AACTGGTCTCAAACATGTTCATAATCCCAATGCTCCGTTTTAAACATTTTGGGAATAAAAACAAGTGAATGTCAGATGCTGAAACCGAGGCAGCAGACCAACAAGCCCTAAACGTTGGGGCTTGACTTGGGGAATGAGCTGGTGTGCAACATGCCATGGAGATGTCTACTCTTCTCTTAGGAGTTCTCCTTTGGCATCTCCCAAATCCATTGCTAACACTGGGATTGCTGTGATGTTCATCCTGTGCCAGTCACACCGTATTCCATCCCCTGGACTGCTGCTCACAGGCTTGGCCTCTTCCCTTTGTGAAAGGGAGAAAGCTTTCAGACAAATCTGCAGACTGCTGGGGAAAGATCCCAGCTGGCCTGGAAAGCAGAGGGATTTATTATTTTTCCCTTCTCTGGTTTTGCCTCCCATTGAAGGGGAAAGATTTGGGGATTTCACACTGTCATAAAAGTTTGGGATGGACCTTCATATGATGGAGTGTCATCAAAGCAATTTCTTGGCTGAGGTGGATGATGATGCTAAGGTGGATGAGGGTTCCAGATTGGAACCTGTGATTTTAAGTCTCTCCCAGCCTACAAGCTGGACTAATAAATCCAGTTTGAGGTGCCAGCCAGTCAGAGGCAGAGGAGCAGGTCTCACCCTCTGCAAAGCCATCAGGACAGCATGAGCTCCTCATGTGGCTGTTGGTTTCCCAGAGATGTACATGTATTGAAACAGCAACAGGACAACCAGCTCCTTCGCAAGGAAAAGTCTGGGACAGGAAGTTCAAACCATACTTCCGGCCTCATTTCTGCTGTGACCTCCAACACCAGGGTCTATTTTTTTTCCTTTCTTAAAAGGAATTTCCTTTTCCCACTTCTTTCTGACTCTCCCTGAGCAGCACAAACTCCTCAGGGTGACATTCCACTGTGAGGATGGTGAGGCACTGGCACAGGTGGCCCAGAGAAGCTGTGCCTGCCCCATCCCTGGAAGCGTTTCAGGCCAGGTTGATTGGGGCTTGGAACAACCTGGGCTAGTGGAAAGTGTCCCTGCCCATGGCAGGGGGTGGAACTGGATGAGCTTTAAGGTTCTTCCCACCCAAACCATGCCATGATTCTTGTGAATAGACAGCCCTGGGCTCCTCCCCAGGGTGGTTGCCTGTACCTTTGGTGTGCAGATTGCAGGTGACTCTTGAACCTGGGAGCTTGGTTTCATTTGCACCTTGAAATTCATGGACTGCTGGACCAGCTCACATTAATTTCTTCGCTTTGAAAGTGGAAACACGGTTTTGTTTATTCTGGTATTCTGTGTAAATGACAGTGATGACAATTACCAGCTCACTGGGGTTGTCTCTTTCTGGAGCTAAGGTGACTTGAGAAATGCATCAGATCCAGCAGTAACAGCCCTTGGTTGTAGCTCTTACCTCATCTGTCTCCAGAAATCTGCTGTAGTAAAATTCCTCAATATTCATCCCCTTGACACAACTCTTTCCATGTCCTACCCTTCCCCCCAAGACAGTGCCACCCCTTGGCCCTGCTCCAGCACCTCTTCTACAGTATTTTCCCAGACTCCATCAGCCTAAATGCATCCTTCCACCTGGGCAATCCCAACAAATAATCACTAGGTGATACTTTTTTCCTCACTTCATTTTTATCTTAAGCTCCACTTGATGTTCATTTTATGGAGTCAGTCAGGGCTGCACCTTCCAGAGGTAAAAGGCTGGTCTGAAAATTCATATTCATGTACCCTTCCAGCCAGGCTTTTCTTTTGTGGCTGCTAATCTCTGCGCGTGCTGCTGCTCTGGTTGCATGAGAGAGAGCTGAATAAATGGACTTTAAAAACTGCTTATACGGATAGATCCTACATAGATAACATCCAGAGCTCCTGTTGGGAGCAATCCGTGGCTGGCATTTCTCTTCCAAACATCCGTGGAAGCCAGAGACCTTTGTTTGGTTGGGTTTTTGGCTTTGTGAGCCAGGAAAATCCATCAGCTGGGAAAAAAATAGCTTGGACCAGCTTTTAACGACTCATCCTTCCCAAATGAACAGCGTCAGCTGTACAGAGATGGTGCCTGCTATGTTTAGGAGGAGTTAATTGTGCTACACCCTCAGCCTGCTTGAATTTTTATCCCTAAGGAAAGATAATCTGGATGTTGGACTAGATGGTGTTATCGGGGTGTGGAGCTTGGAAACCCAGGCAGGAAACATCCTCTGTGACCAGTGGAAACCAGTGCAATTAGCTAACGAAGTCCTGCTGGCGCCTCAGCCCTTGGCACGGAACAGAAGCCGATTCATGCATGATCCCAGAGAGGAAGGAGCCCTCCTATGTCAACTGTGTTCCTGGGAGTCTTTGAAATGCCGCTCACACATCCTCCAAAGGGCTCAGACTTTGAGCAGGTCGTTACAGGGCCCCACGGGATTGAGCTGTGTCCCTTTGATGTCCCTCTGCCCTCCGAGTCCTGTGCTCCTCCACATACCTGAGACCTGAAGTCACAAAGATGCCATTGCTGCAACTCCCTCAGGATGTTCCTGCCCTGCCTGGGGACTTTGGCAGCAGCACCCAGCAGCTCTCCCTTGCTTTAGGGATGAGCAGTGTTAATTCTCCATGTCTCCACGTGTTTCTACGAAACACAAAATCCTGAAAATGCTTGTGGTGCATCTCATTTGCAGAGTGCTGTCCAGTTGGAAGAAGCTTTGAGAGGCCAACACTTGTTTGACTTGCAGAATTGAGATTTTTTTCCTGCATTGCAGAATGAAACTTGACTCATTTGCGTCTGTACAATGTCCAGTAACAGGCAAAGCTTCCTGAAAAACCAGGACTGGCCTCTGCCCCGGGCTTTTTGCATGGTGTTGACTCACTTGGGAACCATCTTCGTGTCTGAGGCCAGGGTTGACCTTCAGGTCACAGCAGTGGGAGGGTGACTTTCCTCACTGCACCATCCCAGATCTTTCTGAGCAAACTACCAGTGTTTCTCCATCCTGGGATCACTCCAGCTACTCCTTTTTGTTTAAAAATAACCCAATTTAAACCCAGCACTTTGTGGCACCCCTGATGGAATCACCTGGCTGGGTTTCACCAAGTCAAGTACAAATGTTTCTGGCAGCTTCATTTGTAATGCCAAGCTTGGGAGAACTACTTTATGCACTGCCAGGGAAATATTTAAGCTGGAAACCTGCTGATGTGGGTTAATGAATTGCACACAGTCATGGAACAAGCCCAGAAAACTGGAATCAGGGAACAAAGAATAACCAAATGTGACCTTCTCTGCACTCCCATCCTCAGGGAGACCTTGGTATAGCTATATATGTGTCCCAGCATTAATTGTTTCCTGCACAGCTTTATTCCCATTTTTCCCTTATATCCATGCACCTGAGAGCAGCAGAGTCCTGTGTCCCTGGGGAAAGGCTCAAGGACCCTGTGACCATTTCACCTGCCGCAGGCCAGGGGTTGCATTTTACTGGGCTCTTCCCACCCACCATCTGGGACCCATCGTGATGGAATTGCTTTTCTCAGCTGTAACATCCCAAAATAGCTGCTCTGGTTTCTTTTAAAAATAGTCATTGTTCTGTGTGTCATTACCTGCTAAAAATGTCTCTCCAAGTCCTGTTAGGACATCAGAGGCAAGAGAGGTCAGGTTAGTGCATCAGCCGTTTTGGAGAGGGTGACAAGTGCTGCTGTGGCCACGTGCACAGCCGTGCCCTTGAGCTGCCGTGTTCCCACAGCTGGGCACCCATCCATGGGTTTGGGGCATGTGTTTAGGATTATTTTGAAAGAGTGACTGCAGAGGTGGAGGAATGTGCCTGGTGCTGGTGACTGCATGAGAAGGAGGATGCTCAGTCAAGTCAGCCCGGGCTGAAGAGAGGCTTTAGCTTGTTTTTGGGAAGCAATTCAACACCTCGTACATCAGTAAGGTAGTGACACAGCACTTCTGGCTGCTGGGGCAGGCAGGGTTTGGATTTTTTCCGTGCATTGTGGCTAATTTCCTGACATAAACTCAGAGGGATCCAGTCCTTCCACAGCTGCCCTTGCCAAGGGGCTCTTTGCATTGAAGCTGCTCCTGCTCCAGACCAGTTAAGAGTCATAGAATCCCAGTCTGGTTTGGGTTGGAGTGCCCTTGAAACCCATCTCATTCCAGCCCCTGCCATGGGCAGAGACACCTTCCACTAGCCCAGGGTGCTCCAAGCCCTGTCCAACCTGGCCATGAACAGTTCCAGGGATAGGGGAGCCACAGCTTCTCTGGGCAACAAGAAGGGATGTGGTGGCCAGGGATGACCACAGGCAGTGAGTCATGGCAGAGCGGCAGTGGTTTGAGAGGTGATGTATCCTTTATGATATAACGGCATGAGCATGGCACATCCCAACAGTACCGGGCCCAAGAGATCTCATTGTCCTGCTTGTGTGGGTCCTGCTCAGGAGGCCTCTGGCCCTTGCAGAGCCTGTTGAACCTCAAACAAGCCAAACAAAAAGTCTTTCCATAATTATTAGAGGAGAACTTCATCCTGCAGACTCAAGGAATGACCACTCACACCACACACAGAGCATTCAGGGTTTACACCTGCAGCGTGACAAAATGGGGTTCATTCAGTGTGTACTGCTGCTCTTGAGTACGCAACGTATCTGCCACAAGCGACTGCGGATACACTGGAATTGGTATTCCTTCTCCCTCCTTCCTTGTGGAGAGAAGTTACTAGGTATTTGGAGGTAATTATTGCTTTTATTCAGCACTAAAGCAATAATTTGAAGGGATCGGTGGAAAGCCAGCAATTTCCTGTCAGTGAGTGGCAGATGTTTTGCTGTGCGTGAGATGTGCTTTCAGGCTCCTACTAATTACGATGACACAAATTGGCAGGAGTTTTCTTCCCAGGCTCCCAGCTCTAATTTTGCCTTTTTTTCCCTGCTATTTTCATTTTTTTTGAAGGTGGAGTCTGTGTCCTTACACTTTGGGAAAAAAACAAGGCAGAGTTGGCGCCTGCATTCAAACATGGTTTCCTAACCTTCTCCTCCATCCCTGCCAGGTTCATACCCCTCACCTAAGGCTGGGGCCACGCTGGTGGTCTACAAGGACTTGCTGGTGCTTTTTGGTGGGTGGACACGGCCAAGCCCTTACCCTCTGCACCAGCCAGAGAGGTTCTTCGATGAAATCCACACATACTCACCCTCCAAAAACTGGTAAGAGCACTGGTATCTTCACACCTGGGCTTCAGCCCAGACTTTGATCCTGGAAAAATGAGTCTGTATTGCAGCTGGAGGAATGCTGGAGGGTGTCTCTCTGAGTCTGTGCATGGTCCTGGTTTCCCAGGTGTGGTTAATCCTGGTGTGTCTCTAATGCTCTTTCTGAAACAAAAAAAAGCCAAAACCCTACAAGAGCACAATGGAGATGTGGACATGCTGCTCTCTGGCACCTCTCACATGCTGGTTGCTTCCATATGGCTCTCCAGTCTACCTAAAATATGCCAGACTCCCTGAGCATCCTCATCCAGCCAGGTGGGAAACCTGGATGGGGATGTTTGAAGCACTTAAAATCACTTTGGCTGTTAGCAGTGAGGCATATCTGAGATAAGCTATAACTGCTGGAGGTCTTGTTTTTAGTGATGATTCAAAACTCACAGCTCCCTCAGGGAGATGTGATCAAGCAGGTATCTCCATCATTTCAGAAATCTCTGCCTTTGCAGCTCATGGACTGGAGCATCCAGCAGTGTCCATGGAGCAGGCAGGAATTTTCCTTTTCTCTTTGAGCACCCTTTGACTGATTTTAGACCTGTCTTTCCCACTGTTCTTGTGTGTGAGAAA